TTCAAACAAGAGTGATCCACTGTACTTGGACGTTGATAGCCGCCACTTGGCCTTTAGGTCTGTTTTCCTATTTTTAAGCCACAGTAGCCTGCGGGAGGCTACTGTGGCAGCGATTGACCTTGCTGCATACTTGGTTGCATGAAGTGAGGCGTCAGCCATAAATTGTGAGGCAGCCAGTATTTTGGCCAAAGTTTGGTGAGTTCTGACTTGATCAGGAGGTACAGTGGTTTGCAGCTCGCAAAGCCACATAATACAGGCCCTGGCGAAGAATGACGAGGAAGTTGCCGCCTTGGCCGCCCAGGCTGCGGCCATGTGGGAGCGACGGAGGGAGTGCTCAAATTTCTTGTCCTCTGGTTTCAAGGCCTCCGCCATGTCTCCTGGAATTGCAGAAGTGGAGAATAATGAAATCAAAGGATTATCTACTGTGGGAACCTCTAGCATGTCTGAAAAGGAAGGAGACACATTAAATAGTTTCCTCTCCATGCTGTTAGGTGTAGGTGGAGTTGCTAGGGAAAACCATTGCTCCTCTACAGAGGAGCGGAAGACCTCTGGACAAGGAATGTACTTATCCTGTGTTACTTTTTTGGCAAAAAGGGGGTTTGCCTCCTTACTTGTGGAAGGATTTTCCTCCTGAACTGAGGTTAGATTGACCGTAGAGACTGCCTTTATTAAGAGTGATTTGTGTAGAGCTGGATCAAAGAGGCTAGAGTTTGTTGCCTGCTCAGGAGCGGTCCCTTCATCCTCCGAAAGGGGCATGTCATTCATGTCCAGATCTATTGATTCTCCCTCTCCTATTTGAGAGGAGGTCTCAGAGATATCTGTAGCCGGAGCCTTATTTCGTCCCTTAAGGGATGGTTGAAAGGTTATCTGACCTTTAGAGGCCATAAACTGGGAATAGGCATCCTGCATGAATGCCTGAAATTGGGCGGACCATATGTCCTCCTGAGCTTTGTCATTGGACACAGCTATAGTGGGAGTATGGTCCGGTGATGATGCTGATGAGGAAGAGTGAGAGGAATCCATCTGTTCGGTTTCCCCCAGAGGAGACCAAGATCTAAGGACTTCCTGGGAAGTAGGTTCTGGTATAGGGGCCACCAATGGGGCAGGGGAAACCATGTTTGCCTCATTGGATCTGATTCTCTGGGCCCTGGAGAATTGTCTTTCTAGAGCCAAATGTCTCCTCGAGGCCTCTCGCTCAGCTGTTTTAGAGGGTCCCCTTTGAGTAAGGTGCTTTGTTTTGCCCTTCTTCTTCCCCCCCCACATCAGATTCTGTGGATCTGCGCTTTTGTTGTTGTTGTGGGGGGATAGCTGGGGACCCTGTGTAGCTGAATGCAAGACACTGTCTGCCATTGTGTCCAGATACCCTGAGTAGGCAATACCTAGAGTGGGGGGACACCAGAAATACGCAGATCAGATGCAGAGTTTGTAGGCTGCAAGCCTGACTCTGAAGTCAAACAATGGCCGGACAGACAGCTACTGTTCTGAGAAGAAAAGTCCTGTAGGGCCGGTGACAAAGGGTCACCTTGGAGAGCAGATGGAATACAAGGAAAAAACTCCTCACGCTCTTCCAACCAATAATCAGGTTCAGTAAGAATGATTATCTGCAGAACTGTACTGCCCCCCAGTCACTGGGCTGTAAAGACAGACCCAAGGGTGTCTAGTAAGGTGTAACTCTTTCCCCTCTCTCTATTCTATTATCAATATAAATCTATTTAATTATATATAATTAAACTACCTCCAGTAGTTGAACCAACTAATGTAGAAAGGAACAGTAAGGACACCCAAAATGGCGCTGAAGAGGGAGACCACGCCCCCTAACTGCCAATTGTCAGCTTCTAGAAAGACACGAGGCTCAAAATGGCGATTGGAACCTTCACGGGGAGTTTTTTGGGCTGAGGTAATCAGCAGAGCAAACTCAAGAGGGGTGGGGGGGTCGCAAGGGAAACTTCCCTTAAGCCCCGCAGCTTATTAAACACCGTTTAGGCGATCTGTGCTCCTTTTTGTCAGCTGGCAAGGGAGCTTGATGGAAAAATCCCCTTTCTACTGCTGACCAGCGATCCGCGGATCTGCCGGTCGTTCCGGAGCCGCTGGAGCTCGCGCTTTACAGCTGGGTGGAAATGAGCTCCGCTGCTGTTACAAAGGCTTCGAGCTTCTGAAAACACTTAGAATGGGATCGCAATACGATACTCTCACCACAATGACGGAAAAAGCCCTCAGGGCTCGAAATTCCAACGGAAGGCTCGGAGCTTCACTCTAAGCAGAGAAAGTCTTCTCGGATATCCCAGCAACAAGGTAAAAGGAAGAGAGGATTTTGCTCAATTTGCCTCAATTTTGACTGTCTGAGGAGCTAAAGTTTTTGGCTGTTAACGGGCTCGAGACTAAGTCAAAACTGGAGTCACGCCCAAAGGGAGGGTGTGGCCAAAGTTTTGACTTAGTTTGTCGGGCGGGAAGGCTGTCATGGAACCCATCCATTGGACTCTACAGCCATCCTGCTGGAGAACATCTCTTTATGTCCATCCATCTGTATCTCATCTATAGCTATATCATATCATATCTATCTATCTATCTATCTATCTATCTATCTATCTATCTATCTATCATCTATCTATCTATCTATCTATCATCTATCATCTATCTATCATTATACCTACTGTATTTCAGTATATGTAATCTACCTACCTATCTAAAATATAATAGAACAAACAGTATTGCTTTCCTGCTTCTTCTTGCTATCTCTATGTACTTAGATTACCAGTCTTCAGGCTCTGTGAGGCTATGATCATAAAGCAAGAATGGCTTGTGTGAATATGGCTAAATAAACAAATAACTTTGGCTATAAAGGGGCTTTAGAATAAGTGGGATAAGAGATATGAGTAATATGGTATTTTTTGATAAGACACAAAATGTAAAAAATATTGGGATGATGAAAGTGAAGGAAAAGTTTGAATTTTAAAGACAAATGAAATTTGAAAAGATTTAGGATTAAGGAATGATTGAAATATTAGGAGAAATTAGGCTTAATAAAAACTTTGAAAAAAGGATATATAGTGATTTAATTAATTTTTACAAATAGAAGTGAAATATAAATTGATTAGAAAAGATGTTATAGGTAGATGTTATGATAGATAAGTAGTATAGTATTTCTATAATATATGAAATGCGAAAATACTGGGATGATATATTTAAGTGGAAAAATTTCGATATTTGGATGTTAATTATTGAGAAAATTATGATTGATAAGAATTGTTTGAATATTATGGAGAAATTGAGTTTAAACAAGATTTATGAAAATAAAATATATGGTGAATCAATAAGATGACTTTTACAAAAATAAGTTGATAAGAAAAAAATGTTATATATGGATGCTATTATTGTTGGTATAAATGTAGTAGAAAATGTTTTTATTTAATCATTTATATATGGATAATATCAAATATCAAAAATTATATTTGTTTAATGCTGAAGAAGAAGAATACTATTGGGAGAAGAGAGGATATTATCAATTGATATACTAATTATGGAAATATAAAAATTAATTATTATTGACTGTTAGTTAACTATTATTGATTGTAAAAAAAAATTCATGAACCAAGACAACACGCTGTATACCAGGCACTAAGGTTATTATTGTAAAAAATTAATAAAACTCTTACAAAAAAAGAGAGTTTATCTTTGTTTATTTCTCATGTAGTTCTATAGTTCCTAAGATGTTTGTTGGAGGATATCTATTGGAAATTAAAACTATATTTTCCTATACTTTATGAAAGGGTTTGGAAGCAACTCTCTGACCCTTCCAATACTGCACTGGTGAAATTCAGAGATAATCAAATAAAGGTGTGCAATTTCTCACTTATTTTCAGTGGAAAATGAAATAAAAGGGAGCCTTAAGCATCCAGTAAGTTTACAGTTGCTATAAAATGTATCACTCCTGAGAAAGTATATTGAATGATTTTACAAGGCTGAATATTTCAAACCAACCTGTTTGGTGACAGTGCATTGTTACCAACCCACCACCTAGCTTTTAAGAGGTATCAACATCATCATTACAGGACCATTACTTCTGTTTAAGGAAGTTATCTAAATGAGTCTATCATTTATCATTTATCTTTGATAAAGGGAAAAGTTTGTGGGGGATGCCCAAAGCTGAGATATAGTTTATTTATTCAGTAGCCATCACTGCAATCCATTGTTTCATGTTCTAATAGATCATATTTATGTTCTAATACATCATAGTTATGAATGCTTTTAAATACATAAATAGTTAAAATGGATCTGTCCTACAATGTAGAAGTACAGAAAAAAATATGGTATATCTGAATATATGTAATAATGCTGGAAAAATGCTGGAGAATTTCACCCTACATCTTAACCTGCTACTCCAAATAATACTTAACAAATCTCCTCCCAAAAGGGAGGAGAATTTTCAGCGGAAATTGAGATTTAGTTTTTGCCTTAACAATATTTAATAAGGTTGACAGAAGCTATGATTTTAATACTCTTTTGGTTTCAAGGCCTCTTATTTTAGCATATTGTTTGCATCCTCTATCAGTGTATATTTCAGAAGAAAAAATATGGCTTATTTTATAGGACATGATTCTCGTTTTATTCATAAAGATTTAGTCATCAGCAAATAGGATTGAAGATAACCAAATACTACTTTTTGCTGCTCCCTAATCCAAATAGAAAGTCAGTTAGGGCACCAGGCTAGAATTCAGGATACTTTGAGTTCTAGTCCTATTCATCCATCCCAAATTTTATAAACACCACTAGAGGTTATATATATATATTTGCATAGAAAGGATTTTACTTGATTAAAAAGTCATAAATTCATTAACTGTAGAAGGGAGTGATTTTTTTCCACATAGCACCTAATTAAAATATGGCATTCATATTTCAGTCAGCAAATAATAGACACATATTATGGAGGATAAAGCTCTCAAGGGCTACTGGTCATGAAGGCAATATATTAATTCCAATCTAAAAAGCAATGCATTTCACAATTCCTATTGCCAGAGAATGCAAACAAGATGATTTAATAGAGGTGATGTCCTAAATTTCATTTTCACAATAGCTTCTAGTTGGTCATTATGGGAAGAAAACTCAGGAACAGATAGATATCTGATGCAATTCATCAGGGCTCTTTTCATTATAAAAGGACTGGAGCCTGTTACAATAAAGTTATCTTCAGGGGAATCATTATTACCACAATTTGGTTTCAATAATGCAAACTTTTAATTAACTGAGCTTAGACCATCTTAGAAAAAAAGAGCAAATTCTGCTTTGCATTATAAAGAAGAAAAAGTGGTGTATCCAAAGTGATTTAATTTTCCATAGATCTTTGCAGAAGTTCCACAAATGAGCACAAAAGTTGGTACAAATAACCAAATACATGTCTCTACTTATTTCCTATCCTCCTTCCTCATGTTTGAAGAAACAAATTCAGAATTTCAACAAAGCTCACTATGAAGCAACCACAGAATTTGACTAAATCTGCAAATAAATACACAGTAGCCCAAGTACAACTGAGTTGATAAAATAAAATATCAAGTAATAGAAATAGACATTCCCTCTTCCTCTTTTTCTTCTTGTAGACAGTATGCACCTTTTTTTTTCTTTGTCTGATTCAGAGTGACTTTTTTCAGCATGTAACAAAGCCAGTTCTCTGATTCCCTTAAAAGTCCTTTATAGATTTACTATACTTTTTATTTTTTGGCACAATGGATAATAATCTTAGGGCAATTCAAAGCCAGCAGGTCTTCAGAGATTAACTTCCAAATATCAGCAGTTGATATTTCTTCTAGAACCTTCTGCATAAGATGCCGTTGTACTGAATCTGGGAATGAATAACACATTCTTTAGTAAGTAATTCAGATAGAAAAACTGATCTCTTACATAAGATTTCCTTTTAAGCAACCAATTGTGATTGCTGTGATTGCCAATGATGGATTTTTTTATTAGTCAGAAATGGGCTAAACCACAGATTTAAACCTGGAAATAATCTAAGCAGTGTCATAGTTGACTTCGCCATTTTACCTAAACAAGCCTATTTCCTATCATTTATCTCTCCTAACTATCAGGAAGTACTTTCCCAGAGTTGAACCATTTATGTAAGAGGAAAAGGACTGTTTCTTGGTACTATAATTTGTTTTTGTATTCATAATATCTCTGTCGTGTTGGTGTGTTACTGTATCATAGCTACATTTTGGCTCCTGAAGTTGAAACTGGAGACCTAAGAAATCAACAATCTATTGATTTTATTTTGCAGATTTTGCTTCTTTTTCTCTCTGTTAATTCCTTTCATATGGCTAGGGATTACCTAGTAATGCCATATAGTTTTTTTCCAGGTCTAGAAGCAAAGCCTTCTCCAATGGCTTGATGAATACTCAGGATAGTAGGCTTCAAATTGTTCAAAGACAAGGATTATTCTCCCATTCTGCTAATTACAGGCAAATAGGTCTCGCTGGCTTTGGGAATACTTCTCATGACACAGCCTTTGTCTTTTCCTCAGCCCACTGTGGAGTCAACCTAAGTTTGTCCTTAACACTTTCATGTTTAAAATAGCAGCATGAGCTTTGGTACATGAATGATTTATAATTTATTACAATCTGCTGATGATGCTGTCAGGGAATTGTGTCTTCTGAGTTCCATATGGCCAACTGAGACTACTAGGGAAATTACCTTCCCATCTATTACTTCTATTTTAATTTCAGCTCCAGATGAAACTAGACACCTGGTTTTCATAGATATATCTACTTGTGTAATGCCTGACTCACACGTCACAAATTTCCAGACCTAGACAAGCTCTTTATGTACCTAGTTAAACCAGCCTTCTGGAAAACCCTAGTCCCTTATCGGACACCAATTTAGTGGTTTTTCCGTAGACCAATAGGTCTGTCTGTTACAATAATAAAACAGTTGCTGGTTGATTTAAACAGGGAAAGAGATATATTGTTGGTTCTGCTATGGATAAGCATTTTGAAGGTTTTCAGTTGCTTCTGCGGCTAAGAAGTTTTGCACAATCATCCTTTCTATCATTTTTATTATACTGGAAAGAAGTAATGCTATTTTATGTACTTTGTGGGATATTTCAAGGTGCTGCCAATTGTGGCCATTCATTGACAGCACTACCTTTGATCGATCGATCAATTGATTGATTGATGCCAGTACTATCTTTCTCTGAACAGTTGTTGATGTTTAGAGACTGGAGTGGAGTTTAAAATTTCTTCCAGTTTCCTTGTGAAGCTTAAGGAAGATTCAACCAGACCCCTGAAAGACTGGTAGCTTTCTGTTCAAAAGTAGCCTAGCTAATCCTCTCCACTCCCAAATGACCTGTCAAATGGACCATACATGGATGCATAGACTAGTAATCCAAATTCAGAAAAAAAAAAGAGTGACAAGTGGCTCATTGCACACTGCTCCTGGACAACATGAAAGCCAGCTAAAAACACCATTCCAAGTACTTCCATACATTCCTGCAAGCCTGCCTTGCCACACTTTGAAAAGAGATTTCTGGTGTTCTTCTCTGCCAGCTGGAAACCCTGGGAGGGAGGTAAAACAAACCCAAGGGAATCTTCCAACCATTGCCCACAATAAAGCCTCAGTCCATTTCTAAGCCTTGCTGGCATAAGGCTTCCTGCTTGAGCAAGGGGTGGGACTAGAAGACCTCCAAGGACCCTTTCAACTCTGTTATTCTGTTGTTCTATTATTCCACTACTGAGAGAGTTTACAACTCAGCCATCAAGACAGCACAAATTAGGCTGACATATTTTTTCTGCTGACTTAAAAATACACATTAGTCACAAGAAGGACCCTGAAAAACTAAGATCCCAATGGGAGGATCTCTAAGAACACTGATTTTTGTTTAGTTATTAGCTGCAAGTAGGAACTGCCCTTTGATCTGGGAAAATATATACATCTGCAGCTCTCATTTTGACTTACTGATGACAATGGAGAAAGAAACTGGATTTGATGGTATAAATCTCAGGACTGAATTTGTTTTAATAAAAATCACTTCAGCTGCATAAACACTTCTGATGGTCAAAAATAAATTTAAAGAGGCTTCTCAGAGAGGCTTACAAATATCAGTAACAAGGCAATCCTGGCCTTACTTTGAAATTGGCGATACAGAGCATGAAAAGGAAGTAGGAGGGGGGAAAGGGGAATAAAAATAAGCTCAATGCACTGCTTCATTTTGTTTTCTTTTAGAATTTCTTAAAAATATATTCTACACACAAACCTGTTTGCATTCCTCTTCACCCTTGTCACAATTCCATGTGATTTAAATGAAAAAAAAATCATATGAAATAGAAATATACAGCTAAATACATAAAAAGTTAAAGAGAATGGTGTTCCAAACATCCCTATTATGAACTTACACATTTCTAATTATAAACTTCTGTGGTGTCCTACTGATATAGCTAAAGTTGCAGCTCACCTGTCAGCAGTAGTAAAATCCATTCCAGATAGTTTTTAAAATCTCTTCTAATTCCTTACTTTATCCTTGCTGGTGTTTTGAGGCTCACTGTGTTAGCATTTCTCCAATTTCTCTCTCATTGCACAACTTTTTAGATATAGATCTTATCATGACCAGATGGCATTGAAACAATTCATGTAGGCTGGAGAGAACAAAAGGCAGCTGGTGTCTCAGCAGGAAGTGATCTAACATCTCTTTTTCTCCTCTGCTCCAGCAGCCTGATGAAATAGTTGATGGGTATGCACAGAGTGGGGAGGCATTGTAATGCTGAAAGGAAAAAAAAAACCCGATATATCAAGCATTACTGAAACATGAAGAGTTGAAACTCATTAAAAAGCAAGCCTGAAAGGTAAAAAGTATTCAAAAGTAAACCAGAGTGGGGAAGTGAAGTGACATTATATGTAAAGGGAGTGCATATATCTATTGATATCCAAAAAACTGAGCATGCGGATCAGTCATAAGGCAACAACAAGTGTATTATTCTGGGGGTATGCTATTTCCTGCCAAAAATGGAATGAAAATACCTGCTCTTGGACCATCTCTTTCATGGAGGAAGAACATAGTAATATTGAGAAGATTTTTTTTCCCTGTTATCTTTCTACTGTTTCATTTTCTAGAAGATTGAAGAAGTGATATTTGGAAACTAGCCCTAATCAACAAAAAAGTCCTAGCCATGAAAACTGACACGGGACCCAGAACAACACAGTACACCACCACCATTCACCCTCACCAAACTCAAACCCAAGCCCAAACCCATCCCTCAGACGAAATGCAACCACTATCCAGAAGCCAAACCATGATGACATCACCAGCTGCTGCACCTCCCTCTGACCCCCACACAAAGCAAACAGAAACACGCCATGAGCACAGAGCTAGACAGCAACCTCGGAGACACACCAAAGCCCGGTATGTCACATCACAGCCTTCTGCTCTGGACATCACACCACAGAACTCAGGAGGTTACAACGCTACAATGTTACAATGTTACAACGTTACAACGTTACAATGTTACAACACAGCCAACCCCTCAGGATGTTGCAACACAGAACTCAGAATATCACTAAACTAGATCTCAGGATGTCATTACATAGCCCATTACCCAAGTCGTTACAACACAAAAGACTAATGGACACACAGCCAGCACATCAGCTACTCAGGATGTTACGAAATTGTTTCCTCACTAGCTAGCTTGTATTCTGACAATGATGGCAGGTGCTAGCCATTGAAAGCTAGGTGGATGTAAGTAAGAGCTAAAAGAAAGAATCACTGAAGGCTGTAAGTGAAGTAAGGATTAGTTGGCTTGGACCTGTTACAAGGTTCATGCGTAGAGTTTAGGTGTGGCTATGCTTATAAGCAGGTTTCCTCACTAACTGGCTTGTATCCTGAAGATGATGGCAGATGTTAGCCATCGAAAGCTTGATTTTATTTATTAAAACCTTGGTGTTTTATTTCCTGGTGATCGCTTCCTTTTTTACTGAAATATATATATATATATATATATAATGATATCCATAAAAATACGACTCCTGGGCATGTTTATAATATAAATAAAATACGATCACCAGGAGAGTTACGTATAAAAATATACTTTACTAAAAACAGCCAAGCTTTCGTTGGGGACTCCCAACATCATCAGGGCTAAAAAAGCCAGTAAACAACGATGACTCAAATAGGTTTGGCTGACATTTGCACCCGGCTCTTGGACCGCGTCACTGGCCCTGGCCGGTCAATTTGTGTTCCAGATGTTTCTTTGTTACTCTCTTTGCATTTCCTTCTATTGTTCTTCTGGATCACTCCTCCTACTGCTCCATTACTAACACCGAAATCTATTAATACCCTTTCATCCTCCTTTCTTCTAATGGCATTAGCTCTCACTTCATTCCCCTTCCTGTTGTCTACTTCAGGGGTATTTAATTCTCCTCTACCACTGCTGTAAATCTCACTGGGGTTCCAGTTATTTCTTCGTGTTTCTTTTGACTGCAAGTCGATGTTTTCCCTCTGTTCTATGTCCTCTTTTCTTTCTTCCTTATTCCTACGAGTAATGTTTATACAGACGTTATATGTTATATGTTATATGTTCTGAGGTTTTCACAGGTGTTTGTGTGTAGGTCTTAGGTTATTCGGGTTTTCTCCTGCGTCAAATTGGAAGTGTCTTGGTGACGTTTCAACGAAGTCTCATTCATCATCTTCAGGCTTCGTGCTTCTAGGAGCAATGTGTGATCGTAGCTGTTTCTTACTTTTAAGTGCCAGTGGGGGTATGAACTGATTGGATGAGAGCTTGGCTGTGTTCTGATTGGATGGAGGTGTGTTCTGATTGGTTAGGAGCTTGGCTGTGTTCTGATTGGATGGGGAGTTGGCTGTGCTCTGATTGGTTAGGGGAGTGTTCTGTTTGGGTGGGGGCTTTGTTGTGCTCAGGTTAGTCTGAGTTGCAGGGGGGTTTAAGATTTTGGGCTGCCTTGCTATTTTTTGGCTTCGCATTCATGGTTGTGCCTCATCTTCATGGAGGGTGTCAGTTTGCTTCATGTATGGATTGGAGGGGTTTAAAGTGGCTAATGATGCAGCTGTTGTCTGGGTTAGGTTTGTGGTCATGCCTCATCATCGGTGTGGCTTTGGGTTTGCTTTTTGCGTGGATGTCTGGTGGTGACATCCTGTGTGGCTTTCGTGAGTGTGGGTCTGCTGTCATTCTTTGTGTTAGGGACTCGTTTGTCAATAAGGGCGGGTTTCCAGATGGCTGGTAGGCAGGAGGTATCATCTCGTTTGTTCATGCTGTGTGGGTGTTTTTCTATCTCGATGGCTTCTCTGATTATTCTGTTATTAAAATGTTCACTTTTGGCAAAGGTTCTGGTGTTTTTAAAGTCAATTTCATGTCCTGTGGCTTTAAGGTGTTGGACCAGGGAAGATGTTGGTTCCTCTTTTTTGACTGAGTTCTTATGTTCTTCAATGCCTGCACTTATTCTTCTGTTGGTTTGTCCGATGTATGTGTTGGGACAAGCAGTGCATGGGATTTCATATATTTAACTGCCAGTGGGGGTATGAACTGATTGGATGAGACTTGGCTGTGTTCTGATTGGATGGAGGTGTGTTCTGATTGGTTAGGAGCCAATTCATACCCCAACTGGCAGTTAAAAGGAGGAAACAGCTACAATCACACATTGCTCCTAGAAGCACGAAGCCGAAAGCACCAGCCTGAAGATGACGAATGAGACTTCGTCGAAACGTCACCAAGACACTTCCAATTTTACGTGGGAGAAAACCCGAATAACCAAAGACCTACATACAAACAGCCATGAAAACCTCAGAAATATATATATATATATATATATATATATATATATATATATATATATATATATGTGTGTGTGTGTGTGTGTGTGTGTGTGTGTGTGTGTGTGTGTGTGCTGCATTGGCTAATGCGAACTGAAGAAGCTTCTTGGATGAGAAGCGAAACATCTTCTAGAAAATACGAAGTCCAGTTGCCTTTTCAAAATGCACCTTTGGGAGTGCACTTGGAATATTGCATTGTCAGGGTACCACATTTTAGGGACAATATTAACAAGCTATGGAGAACAACCAAGATAATAAGAGACCTGGAGAAAAAAAGCTTCTGAGAAATAGTTGGAATATGAAGTATACTTAATCTGGAGAAGACAAGACTGTGAAGAGATATTATAGTTGTCTTCAAGTATCTAAAGGGCTGTCATGTAGGAGATGAAGCAAAATTGTCCAGCGCTCTTCCAGAAAATAAGACAAGAAGAAATTGGACTTAAAGTAAAAGGATTTCACTTCCTTTTCCTTTTAGAGATCAGAAAAACATTCATAGTGACAAGAACTGTTCAACAATGGAACAGACTACCTTAGGAGATGATGGACTCTCCTTTGACGGAGGAGTTTAAACATCTTATAAAAGAGTTTGAACATCTCACAGAAGTGAATATTGTACCAATTCCCCACTACAGTGCCTTCAGAAAATCAAATAACTAAAAATAGAAGATAAAAATGTGATCTTGTTTGATGTCCATCCAGAACTAGCAAAATAAAATAATACATGGCAGCAATACTACACAACACACCTGACCTAAGCAAATTCACTAAGATTGAAATACCCAGAATCATGGACCTCACCAACCTCTACCTCACCTATCTACTTTCAGTCTGAGGGACATATATACCAAGCAATCAGAGGAATGCCCATAGAATCACCATTTTCAGGATCCATAACAGAGACTTTAATGAAACATCAAGAAAGTATAACACTCCAGACATATCACCAAAAGTATTGATCCGATATGTAGAGGGCATCAATAAGAGATCTCACTGTAATTTCTGATCAATATCAAGTGGCAGATAAATTTTTAATATAATTTTCATTCCGCCAAATGTATGCTGTATATTGGATAAGGGCTATAGGAAAGAACAAGCTTGTCTCTGACTTAAGAGACTCACAGATAATCCTTCCATGGTTCAATGTAATGACTTTGACTTTCAAAGGATTTCTGGCAAGCAGACCTCGATAACCCGGGAGGCGTTGCAAGTAAACTTTTACTGAGAGCCTTTGCTGAAAATAAAATGGCCAAATTAAGTGCATGAAATGACACAATGATTAAGCATCATGAATGACTGAAGTAAAGGATAAATAAACCTAATCTGTTTGTTTTATCTTTTTTATATGCTTAGGTTATATGATGTCAATCAGCAGTTGTCAGCAAATTAATCAAAACAAGTGAAGCAGAATAAATCAAGAATTTATTTAAAAAGCAGCCTCTTTTCATAAAATTATCACATGATTTTCTCTATCAGGATGTCTTTGCAGAAAGGTAAATGCCAGCATTCAAGGCCTTATAATTATTATGGTTGGTTGCACAGGATTTGGCATTTTTATCCATCCATGGAGTCCTTTTGATTATGTTAAAGATATAAGCAAAGAATGCAGTTTGTTCCAAGTAAAGCTGCCTTTTGTAATTGACTGATTGTGATTTTTGTTAATGCCTATGGTGTTCAAGTGATGCTCCAGATGTTTCGGAATTGCAGTCAAGGTGCCTATTAATATTGGTACTATCTTTGCCTTTTTGCTACAGTCATTCTACTTATATTTGCAAATCTTTGTATTTTGTGATTTTTCTTCATTTGTTTCTTTTCTCCAGATACTGCAAAATCCATGATCCAGACCTTTTTGACTTTCTTATTGACAATTGTTAAGTTTGGGGTGTTATGTGGCTATTATTTTTGTGCCAAAAGGAACCAAAGCAATATAAGAAAAATTATTGACT